GCACAGATGGGACTGCTTTTATACACTCATTCCCTGAAGTATTGCAACAAAAGAAGAAAGGCATTGATAAGATGGACAAAAGCCTTTTCAGTACCTTGATATGACAGTTAGATGATCCTTTATTTATCTTTTTTATTTAGCATTACTAAATGTTATGAATAACATATACTAATGAGGAAGGCAATAATATCTGTTTTAGTGGAAATAACCATAGAAAGGGATTATAGAGGAATTTCAAGAACACATTCGGTAATGCTTACTGCTTATAACAGAGCTAAATAGGGGGGGTAAAGAATGGAAATGGTATGTGATCACTAGTCTGAAGGGGCCTGCATGGTGCAGTCTTCGTTGCAATTTTCACTGTTACTATTGTTCCAACTATCCAATTTGATTTACGTGTGAGTAGTCTAATTTTATGGAATGTAGAAATTGCTAATAGTTTCAAAGAAGGTTACATCTTTTGTTCAGTGGCCAATTTGGATGCAAAAATTGCATGACTATATTTAAGCCTGGCAATCTTTTAGGTTTTTATGAAAAATGGTTGTTATAGTATAACATTCATGTTTTGTTTTGTTTTCTTTTTTTTTTCTGAACACTTTTGGAAGTTAGGATGAAATGAAAGTGAGAGTGAATGTTTTTTTTTTTTTTTTAAGAGTAGGTGAGACAATTTTGTATTTTGTTGTGTTTGTAAAAGAAGATGGCTAGAATTTAAAGAATATGTTTGATTAGATTGAAAATATTACTTGTATATTGATATGTCCTACTTTTTGCTTATTGAATGAAAAAAAGGGAATATTTACATTATAACTTGGAGATTCAGTATTGTACTAACAGTAAATTTTGTTCCAGTTCGAATTATAGATAGCTTCTAGTTTTATGGGAGGTTGGTTCTGCAAAATTTGGATTAAGTCACACTCTTAGTGAGGAATGCAAGAGAAAAAAAAATTAATACAAAGTTAGTAAAGTTTGATTTAGGTTAAAAAATTAAGTGGATCATTACTCAGAAAAAGGAGCTTCTTTCTTTATGTTGGTTGATTAAATAGATTTATAAAGACTTAGGTTAAATTGATGATGGCAATATTTTGGATTTGGGGAAATATTAGATGAGAGCTTAGAACATGTTTTGGTTTATTCGATAAGTGAAAAATTTACTGACATACTTTGTCATTGAAAGTCTTATTTTACAGTTTGCTTATGTTGTCTATTAAAGTTATCAATACATAGAATGTTGCTTTGTATTGAATTAGACATTTGCATATTGTGTACTAAATTTGGTTGATTATGAGCACCAAGGAATAGTTAGTAAATAGAATTACACATTGTTTTTTGCAGCTTTTTGTTTTTAGGTCTCGTATTTGAAACAGAAATATTTATCTTTAGTTTATTCCTGTGATTACTATTTTTAAGATAGTTTTTTGTTGTTCTCATCATTATTATTATTTATCACCATATGAATATGGTGCTTTTCCTTGGTTTTAGCTTTGAATGGGGTCATGATAGATTTTTTTTTACTTCTATTCTTTCATTTCTTTTTACTTATCTCATTTTAACAGTAATAAGAGGAAACAAATGAAATAAGAAAACTTAAAAGGAGAAGGAAAAAAGAAAAGATTAAAGAGAGAAATAGGGCTTTCCGTTACCACAAGTTCAGGTTCTCATTTGTTAAACACTTTGAGTTAATACCTGCCGTCTTTTTTCAACAGTTTTCTAAAGGACCTCAGGTTGCAAGAGGAACAACTTGGCGGTATTACGTAAGTTTGTGCTCACCTTCCTCTCTTTCTCTTCTCTTTGGTTGGGTTGTCTTTATTACTGTTATCATCAGTTGCTGCCTTTCTTTTCCTCTCGTTTCATCATTTGTTATTTAATTTGTTTATTTATAATTTATTTTGTGTGGGCACCAGTCAAGTGCATTTGAGAAGGGTCATCATTTAAGTTGAAATAGAGGATGTTTATATATTTACCTATTTTTTTATCGAGTGTTTGTTCCTTGTTGATTGCTGATTGAAGCAGATCCTCCCCTCCTTTCAGTCTCTTATATCTTACATATATATTTATATATATTTATATATATGTATATATTACAAATATGTTGAGACACAAATTAGGCAGATCATGCACTTGTGTTGGGGATGATATGTGTGCATTTTTCCGATGTTTCCATTTTGTAGTTGTTGTGCCTGGAATGACACCTAGGGACAGGGATGGGAGACGAGAAAAAAATATGCAAAAACCTTGCTCGATGTCGGGATGCTGTAGTCAGAGATCAAGGCTTTCGGGATTAAGAGAAAAATTATATGATATCTCTCTGTGGCTGAGTGTGCAAACTTTGGGACTACAGCATCATCTCAAATAGTCTAATGTATATATGCACACACATATATACATAAGATTTTTGTATATCTTTAGGTGTGTGTATTATATATGATCAACCCCCATTAAACCTCTCTTCACGCAGCATCTATCTTCATATACATCCATGGCTTCTAGCCTTCTGTATCATGTGTTTTGCATCTCTTCAGTGTTGTAGCATCTGTTTCTCTTTAATTTCCACGCTGATGAAGTTTATTATATGATGACAGAACTAGAGCAATTTTCAGCATAACTATATGAACATTGTTTCTGCACAACAATTAATTTACATACTATCCTATTTCAAAGAATATTTTGTCAGCATCATGCAGGGAATAAATTTATATTTGTCTATCTATCAATATCCATCTATTTCAATCTATCTATATCTACCTAATTGTTTATCTACTGATAATACAAATATCATATTTATCCATCTAGCTCTCTATCTGTCTATCTATCTATCTATCTATCTATCTATCTATCTATCTATCGTTCTATCTGAGTCTATACTGTCAGATCTGTATAGATATATATATATATGATATTATATACATATATAGTTTTACATATAGTGTTAACATAGATTTACGTATACGATATAACATATTACATTCTCATATACATAATACAATAGTA